TGAGGTTGGGAGCATCAGTTCCCAAAGTTGTTCTATTTGCATCCCCAAAATTTAGCACACTGTCTGACTTATACTTAAGTGCTTAATAAATATTTTTGATGGATTTTTAAAGAAAGAACAGGTCTAATGACACTAAAGATCTGGGTTCTAGTCGTGGCTCTGAAAGTTAACTTTCTTTGTGACCTTGGATAACTCATGTTCCCTGACAGGGTCTAGCATTCTTGTCTGCAAAATGAGGGAGTTAGACTAGATGATCTCTAAATTTTCTCTTAAGTCTATGAATAATTACAACTAGGAAGCAATGGAAAAATGAGAGCTCATAGTTCATATGCTGTGTTATGGTTTACAAAGCACTTTCCTCATAACACCCTTGTGAGGTAGGTAGTATAAATACTCTTATCCCCATTTTACAGATGAGGCACTGGGACTTAAAGAGATTAAGTACCTGGTTCATGATTTTAAACAGTATTTGAGTCCAGGTCTCAGTCTACCATACCATCCTAATTAACTATAAATCGGCTAACTGGCTAATTATATGTTTAGCACTATGCCTGGCACACAGGAGGTACTTAATAAATGCTTATTCCCTACCCCCACAACCTCACATACACACCATATGCCAACTCTCACTTCCATGTATTTATATTAGTTGTCCCCTAGGGTTAAAATTAATTTCCCCCTTACATGTACCTTTCAGAATTCTCCTCCCTCAAAACTAAGTTCAGAAGCCATCTCCTCCATGAAGCCTTTCCTCATTCCAAAGGTTTGAGTGTTGTTTCCCTCCTCAGATGATGGTGGATTTACTTATGTTTCCACTTGGTATCTGCCCAGTCTACTGTAACTTCCTTTTCTTGCCTTTCTTCCCCACTGCATAGTGCTTTGCACAAAGTAGGTATGAAACAAATGTTTACTGATTCTATATGTGTATGTTGGCTGTATGTTACATATACAAGCACATATAAAATATGATTTAACTCACAGATGCCTACCAACTCTTTGGGTGGGAAGGAATCTCCTCCAAGCTTCAATAACTGAGAATAAATAGCTGTATGCTACGCTGCTCAAAAATCTCAAGAGAAGCAATTCTGCAGAGCTGACGAGATAAATAACTGTTCTAAGAACAGTACCACTAAAATTAAAGAAAACATTTGAATGCATGACTAATAACATTTCTCTGCAAAGCGAAGTTGGGGGAATCACAATCACCAAACACCTCTCAGAATACACTTCGAATAGACAGTCACACATTTACTGTATATCACCTTCAGCACAAGCTCATTTCAGATACATCAGAAGAAAGGGTTCCCTCTCCCCCAGCCCATTTACTCTGGCCCATTTAACTCTTGTCGACAAATTTAACTGAAAATGAATTTTCCAGAGTTTATCTATTTTTGGAAAAGAAAACTTGGATGTTATCATTTTAGAAAAAATCATTTTATTTATCTTAGATAAATAACCTCAGAAAACTTGAATGTATTAATTTTAGAAAAAATCATTTTATTTATCTTAGATAAATAACCTCAGAAGAAACAGCATTCTAATGCATCTCAGGGCATTCATATATAGCCAGATGTTTCTAATAACTTGTATCCTTTTTCTGTACATCAAAATACTGACAACTTAGATATAAGAGGATATGAATGCATAAACTTTAAAATACCTTGGCTAATGAACGGCTGTTCATTCCCACCCCAACAAAACAAGTCCACGGGCACTAATCCTGAAAGTCTCAGCTGAGTCCTGAGAACTCACCTACTGATGTCATGACTTGAATTAAGTCATTTCCCCTCAACTTGGCTCCAATTTTTCATCTGACCAAAGAAGCTCTTCTAAAATCCCTTCCAACTCAAAGGTGGGGATCCAGGGTCATTCAAGCAAATGGAAAGCACTGACAATTCTATTTGCTGACACAATGTAGTAATGGTACAGAGTAGGCAAGCCCTTAGTGACTCTCCATGGACACTTGCAAGAAAAAATTTGCTGCAAAGATCCTATGTAAGTAAAAAGAGAAAATATCTAGAAACTGGAAAACTTAGAATCATAGATTTAGAGCTGGAAAGGACTTTAAAGGTCCTCTACTGCAACCCCATTGTTTTAAAAAATGAAAAATCTGGGACCCAGAGAAGTGACTTGCCCAAGGTCATAGTAGAACCAAGATTTGAACCTAGGTTCTCAGATTCCAAATTCTTTCTGAATTCAAGGACACCCAATGTCTTGACTGAGAGTCAAAAAATAAAAACTTTTACAAAATCAAGTTCTCATTTCTTTTCTTAAAACACCAGTGGTGAAAGCTGAGATTTATGAAATACTGAACAATGGAACAAAGATTTGATTCATGTAGAGAGAATAGGCAAAAAACAACAAACTCACCTCCTTTTTCATTTGAAATTCAGCAGAATTCAAAAATTGTTTAGCCTAAATTCATACATATAACTACCTCCACTACACTCCAGCTTTGTTATCTGAGAGAATATCTGGAAAGAGTACTAGATTTGGGAGTCAGAAGATAAAGGTAAAAATAATATGAACCATCTCAACCTCAGTTTACTCTTCTGTAAAGTCAAAGGGTTTAATCTGCATGGTATTTGAAATCTCTTCCAATTCTTCTATGATCTATGATCCTGAAGGCTGGGGCAGTTTTGCTTTTTAACATCTCTATCACACAGTAATCATTCCCCCCATGTAACACCCGGTTAAGACCAAGTTTTCAAACTTTCCTGGGAGCTGGGAATGCAGTGGCCAAGTGTATGTGGCAAAACAAAGTAGTAGTGTAATGGCAAAGTCTGTAGAACCTGGATAATGGTGGCCAATGGGCAGGATTTGGACAGGAAGTATTCTGACTTGGGGTGGGGGAAGGGGAGAAAGAGGGGGAGAGAGAGAGAGAGAGAGAGAGAGAGAGAGAGAGAGAGAGAGAGAGAGAGAGAGAGAGAGAGAGAGAGAGAGAGAGAGAGAGAGAGAGAGAGAGAGAGAGAGAGAGATCTAATGGAGTGTTTTCCTGATTCAAGTCTGGATTCTATCAGATCCATTTCAAATTTGACAAGAGACTACCTGCCCAGAACGCCCACATTTCCTACATTTCTCTCAGTGGACGTGGGAACTCTCTCAAAAAAAATTTGTAAAGTCCTTCGCACAGTGCCTTGAACACGAAAGTACCACTATGTTGCCTCAACACACCGTCAACTGAGAAAAGGACAAGCAGCTGACTATTTAGGATTTGGCCCTTTCAGGTCACAGGCCAGATTCACCTCAGTGGTGACTCAGTGCCTGCCCTGTGCCCAACCTTGACTTCCCTAGGGGAGGAAACATTGCCTCCACGCAGGCGTAAATCGCCCGCCAGGGGCCAGGTCTTTGCCCCCAGGGCACCCTCAGTGCCAAGGCCTGCCAGGCCTCTAACCCTGACCAGGGCCAAGGCCTGGCCTCTAACCCGGCTCAGGAGAAGTAGCAGAGATCAGCGTGCCCAGCACCTTCCCCTTCCCACGGCCCCTGCATGGTGAAAGGCTCCGGCGCATGGCTGCTGAGGAGCCCCCGAGGAGGAGGCCGGGGCACCCACGCAGCCGCCGTGCTGCGGTAGGCGAGCGTGATCGGGCCGCCTCTCTGCTCTCTCCCTGTTTCTCTCCCGCGCCAAAAGCAGCAGCCGCCGCCGCCGCAGCAGCAGCGGCAGCCGCGGCCACAGCCATCGCCAGGGGTCCAGACAGCGCCAGGCCCCCTCCTCTCGCGTACGGGGAGGGCTGGGGGGCTGGAGGGAGAGGGAGCATCCCAGGGGGCGGGGCCGACCAGGACAGCGCCAGAGCCTGGCAGCGGCTCTCCGGTCCTCGCGACGCCATGTGCAGCCGACTCGGCTAGGTCCTGCCAGCCCGGGGAGGGCTCCCCTCCTTCCCCCTCCGGCCTGGCCTTCCCTCTTTGGCCCCGGGGGAGCCGTGGCTGTAGTCCAGGCCTGCGGAGACGCACCTGCCTGGAGCTGCAAGGGGATGGCACGCGCCTGCCTTGCTGCGGCCCCTCATGGGCCTCACCCGATAGGACCCAGTGGCCACGCGCACCCCCTCGGCCCCTCCCGGCTGCAGGTCTAGTTGCTGCCCCCGCCCACGGCCTCTGGCGCCGGCTCCAGCCCGCGCTCTGGCTCTGGCTCTTGCTCCCTCCTCCTCCTCGGCCTGGGCCCCAGGGGAGGGGAGAGGGTGGCTGCGGGGAGAGGAAGGCTCTTGACTGGCTCACTCACCAGCGGTAGCAGCCCTCCGAGGCCTCCAGTGTGAAGTTGATGCGGGTGCCCCGCGTGAAGGGTAGCAGCACTTTGGGTATGTTGAGTTTGGAGGCGGCGGTGCGGTCACTGGCCAGCGCCGCTAGCAGCAGCAGTAGCAACAGCAGTGGCGGCGATAGCTGCCAGCCCCTTGGCGGCCCCTGGGCCCGAGCTGCCATCCTCCCTTGCTCCCCAGCCGGCGCCGGGCTTGCTCGCTCGCTAGCTCCCTCTTGGAGCAGGCTGGCTGGCTCCCTCCCACTCCGCCCCAGAGCACCCGATAGCCTAGCCGGCAGGAGGACCGCGCTGCCGCTGCCCGGGCAGCAGGTGATAAGGCGTGGAGGGGGAGGGGCGTGGGACATCCCTCCAGATCTGAATGCAACTTCCTGGGCCGTTGGTCGGGCTGGGGTGGGGTGGGCGGGGAGGGGACCTGGGCGCGGGTTTCTCCCCTAGTAGGCGGGCCGAGCAGGGTCCCGGCTGACCGACCCCAGAAAAGCCAGCGAGGCTGTGCGGGCGGCCCACCCCGAGTCTCAGGCCCAGCCGGCCTTGTTTCTGCAAACTGGAAATCGCGGGAAACGCGGAGGAAGTCCCAAGCGATACAAAGTTGCCGGAGGAGGGGGAGGTATTGGCCACAGTATCCAGAGCCGCAGACTGTTCTTCCCCCCTTCCTTCTCGTCCCCAGCTAAGGCGCCACCTGCGGACGCAGCAGCTAGAGCAGCCTCGTGGTGCGCTGATCCGTGCACTTGAGCACCCACTACAGAGGGTGATCTGGGACTGCATGGGGGAGGGAGAGGGCAGAAGGAAGAAGGAGGATCCCGCGGCCCCCCTGGGGTTCATGGGGACCCCCAGGGAGCTGACGTCAGAGCTGCTGCAGTCCCACCTCACTATGAGCATTTGCCCCAGGGACAGCTGAAGCCGTCTTTGGATGCTAAAACGAATTTAGAATTTGTGGTTGGGTGGGAATGGAGGTGGAGACGGGGACTAGGTACAGACTACCCAGGAGGTAATAGGCAGGTAGGAACTGAAACCCAGGCTATATTGTTCCCATATGGGAAAATTATAGGTGCCGTCCTCACTTTGTGGGACACCGATGTTAAATAGAGTTGGGGGCGGGGTAGAGAGCTAGGTAGCTTATTAAGTCTGCAAAATTGAGCTGTGTCCAATGAGGAAAGGTTTCATTACAATTGCTAAGTTTTAGGATGAGAAGCCCTCTGAACCTAGAACCTTTGTGAGAAGCTGAGTTCCAGCTGCCCTTGGGATGTGGGATTGTGGGGGCATTAAAGACTCCACTATAAACCTTTTGGTTAGGGTTGTACAAGGGTGGTGACCCATCCTGCCCTTCCATTGCCTTCAGTGTCAAGTGTGGCCTAGCCAGTATGGGCTAAACAAAGAAAGGTTTTGCTTTACCTAATGGCTACCTTCTTTGGCTGTCTTCATGGTGGTGGGAAGCTAGAGGAGGTGAGATTCCGAGGTAGTCGAGGTAATTGGGTGAGCCCTACAAACAGGACAGTGGACTTTTGTTCCCTTATGGTCCCAAGTGGCTCTAAGATTCATGAAGTAGAAAATTGAGCAGTCTCACCAAGGACCATTCTGTGGTTCTAGCTGGTATTTTCTCATACAATTTTTGGTCATCATAGGCACCTGGTCCCATCTCTGACAACCCACACATTCTGGGCATAAAGCAAGATATTGTGGCTCTTGAGGAAAATGAGTTCTCGGAAAGCTCCAAATAGCAAAATTGTTACTTGAGGTGCTTGAATGTTTTTAAGTACATTAGTAGAGTGCCTCTGGTGGTGGGGGTAAGGATGGGAACAGTTAGGGATTGTTGCCTTAATCCTGTTAGGTAGTCTCCTAATAAAAATGACCCTCAGAAATCCCAGTGCAAACTATTTTCCAAATCCTAATCATAATTAATGACCCAGTTCAACCAAAGCAATCCCAGCTTTTTATCAAAGTTGAGACCATACAACTTTGCAGGTGGAATTCACCCTGTGTTTGTACTTTTTCCTTACCATTCTATCATTCCATACACTTAGAGCATTTGTTTTCCAAACTGAACAGTTAGGCGCTATTTCATTCATCCAATTAGCCTGGCTGTTAGGAGCCAATTAATAGCTTTAATCCCCATATACAACTCACTTTTTTCTCTCGTAAATATTTTATCAGGGCTGATTCTGTGGAGTCCTACAAAAGCAGAAGAACAATTTCTACACTCATGCTGGCTCCCACTTCAAACAAGCCTTTCCAGTTCTTCAGAAGTAGAGCCAGTCAGCCATCTCCTTACTAAAGACAGAAGAAGGACCAATGAATAAAACATGGTTCAACAGCTCATACATAATCAGCTGGAGAAGTTAAAACTATTGCTGTTTGAAAAAAAAAAAAAGCAAAACCCACAACATAACCAAAACTCTGTCTGTTGATGAAAAAATTTCTCAGCCTTTCCCTCCAAAGTATGACTGCAGACTTCACTTTAACTTGAAGTGGCCCTGATGTTACTCTATTAAGTAGATAACAATTCATGCCTACAACTAGGGCTTGCCATAGAGAGTCGTTTACCCAGTAGCGGGTGAAGGCCTGTGAGTGAAAAATATCTCTGGAATTGCCTGTTGCTGTTGATTGGGGATTCATGGATTCATTGATTTAGGTATCTAAGATTTTATAATCTTCATAACCCTTCAATTAAAGTGTACATACTCCTAGCTTTAGGACATGGTGCTCAATGCCATAATGAATACTAAATGGGACATAGATTCAGAGTCAGAGGATGGCATTATGAGAGTGACCAGAAAGGATCTTCAAAGGGTGTTAGCATGGTAGAAAGAACAGTCAACCTCTAGTCAAGAGATAAAGGGATAGCATTAAACCCGAAATCAAGTGGGCTCCAGTCATGTGCTCTGCCAATAACCTGTGTAGGTAAGGTAAGTCTGTTCTGGCCTTAGTTTCCTTATCTGTAAAATAATTGCTTATACATAGTACTTAAAGTTATAAAAAAACCACTTGAAATACATTATCCCACATGAGCCTTATGAGAATCCTGTGATATGGGTGATAGAATTGTGTCCATTTTACAGGTAAAGAAACAGGCTCAATGAAAGGGAATAGCTTGCCCAACGTTATGCAGTGCCAGTATTGAAGCCAGGTTTTCTGACTTGATGATCTTGTCAACTGGACCAAACCAGCCTCTAATCTGTGGATGGCCGGAGCCCAACTGAGTAGATTAGGAACAGGAGAGTCAGGAATCAAATAGAAGTTTAATTTTTAAGTGAGGGAAATGGCTTGAAAGCAAGGAGGTGAATTAGACACAAGTCTAGAGCCCCGCCCCTGGGAGGGGAGGGGGACTCACTTTAGTGTGGCTGAACCTTGATTTATATACTTGCAGCTAGACAAAGAGTGAAAGTGTAGTGTAGCAACAGCAGTGAGCAAAACAGCAACAGTGTGGCAAGGTTTTCTAGGAACAAAAGTCCCTTGTAGCAGGGCTTCATGTCAGGGTCTGTTGGTGCTTGCCCCATCTCAGGGACCATCAGTTCCAGAAGCTGAGCACAAAGGATTGTTGTTATGCCAAGTTCAGGGCACAGCTTGCTTGCTGGGCCTTAGCTCTGGAAAACAGGGTGTCTCCTAATAGTTTCTTGACAATCTACCTCCCTGTACTGCTAAACACTGGATTGAGAGTCAAGTAACCTGAGTTCAGATCCTGGTGCTACCTAGCAGTGGGTCCATATGTAAGTCATTTTACCCTTGGTCTCCATGTCCTTATCTATAAAGTTTTTAGAATAGACTCAACTAAATTCAACCATAATATTTAGGAAGCACATATAATGCAAGGCACTGGTGGTTCAAAGGTAAAAAACAAAGAAGTCTTTGACCTCCAGGAGCTGAGTCACAAAGAAAGAAAAAGATTGCAGCAGGCAGAGATGGAGAGAAAATGTGTTCCAGGTATGGAGGTGGGGAGTGGGGTGGGAGGTAAGAGCTCATAAAAATTCATGGAGGCCAAAGACATAAAGGAACAGCAAGTAGTCCCATTTGCCTGGAACGATATAAAGAGGAATAGGTTGAAATAAGACTAGAAAAGTAAATTGGAACCAGATTATTGTGAGCCTTCAATGATAGGCTAAAGAATTTATACTTCATCCTGTAGGTAACGGTGAGTTTCTAAAAGTTTTTGATCAGTAGAATAACATGGTTAAATCTGTGCATTAAGAAAAAAAATATTTGGGCATTGTGTGAAGAAGCCATTCCAATAGAGAGAGGTCAGGAGGGCCTGAACAAAGAGTGGTAGAAGTGAAAATTGAGAGGAAAAGACAAAGAAGAAAGGTATTGCCGAAGTCACAGCTGCCACTTCCTCTGTGACCTCAAAGTGCCCTTCTAGCTCTGAGATTTTCTTGTCCTATTTCACAATTTTGTTTCAGCAGAAATGCTCGGCACCTCTCCTATAGAATACACATTCCCCTCTAAATCCCCTCCTCCTTATGTCACACCAGTCAGATCCCTTCCACCACTGTGCTCCTTCAACTCTGTCTCACGTAAAGAAATGACCTTCCTCTTTACCAAGGCCTACCCCTCTACGTGCACAAGTGATTCTGGTCCTTCCCATTTTCTCCGGCAGGTATCATCCCTACTGTCTCACTAAGAATCTTCAATCTCTTCCTGTCTACTGGTTGCTTCCCTATTTCCTACAAAGGTTACCTGAAAAACCCCCTGGCTTCTTCCACCCATCCCGGCTAGCTGTTGTCCCAGATCCTCCCTCTTGTGGCTCAACTCCTTGAGAAGACTACCAGGACTTGCAGTCTCCACTTCCTTCTCACTCTATTCTTAGTTCCCCAGAGTTTAGCTTCCAACCTCATCATTTAACTGAAACTTCTCTCTCCAAATTTTACCAACAATTTCTCAATTGCCGAATAATTGCTTTTTCTCAGTTCTTTTCCTTTTTTATCTCTGTAGCCTTTGACACTGTTGATCCTCCTCCTTGATTCTCTCTTCTCTCTCTCTCTCTCTCCTGGTTCTCCCACCTGTCAGACTGCTCTTTTTCGGTATCCTTTGCTAGATCTTCATCCAGGTCATGTCCTCTAAACATGAGTGTCTCCCAGTGCTCTCTCGTGGGCCCTCTTCCCTTCTCTCTTGATACTATTTGATTCGGTGATCAGCTCACATGGATTCAAGTATCATCTCTTTGCTGATGATTCACAGATCTTATTCAGCCCCAGCTTCTCTCCTTACCTCCAGTCTCACATATCCAGCTACCTTTTGGACATCTTGAACTAGATGTTTCTTAGATATTTGTACAATTTATCCAAAACTGAACTTATCTTGTCCTCCACTGTCAAGAACAACACTATCTTCTCAGTGTTCCAGGCTCATAAGTAGGTGTGATCCTCAATTCCTCACCTTCATCACCATGTCTAATCAAATTAAGTCCTGTCAATTCTACCTGTGTAACACGTCTCATTTAGACCCCCATTTTCTTCTCAGACACTGTACCATTATGGTTCAGTCCCTCTTCACCTCATGCCTGGACTATTGAAGTATCTTTCTGGTTGGTCTCCCTGACTCACATCTTTACCTCTCTATTCTATCCTCCACTCAATGAAGGATATCAAATTGATCTTCCTAATGCACAGATCTGACCATGTCATTCCACTACTCAATATTCAAGTGGCTCCCTCTTACCTCCAGGATCAAATATAAAAGCCCTCTGTTTGGCATTCAAAGCTATTCATAACCTAGTCCCTTCCTGCCTTTCTATTCTTTTTACACTTTACTCCCTTGTGACAATGGCCTCTTTGCTTTTTCATTGGCTATTACCTACACCTGGAATACTTTCATCATCTCTTTGCCTCTTTGGTTTCCTACAGATCCCAGATAAAATTCCACTTTCCACAAGTAGCCTTTCTTATTTCCCTTAATGCTAATCTCTTCCCTCTGTTGACAATCTCCAAGTTATCCTGTTATTAGATGAGAGGAGTCAGTGGTGGTAGGTGAGACCTTGATCCCAATAGTGTCCTTAACATTTCAAGAATCCCAGAACATAAGGTGATATTGACTTCAAAGTGTCTGTTTAAAAGTTACTGAGAAGCTAAGCGTCTAAATCAATGCTACGTTCTCCTAGGTGTGATTGATGAATTTTTGGCATCAGTGTTATAGCTGAAACCCATACTTGGGCTATGGAAGATGAAGGAGGAGCATTGCTGCATTTCTCATTTGAAAGGCTTTCATTTTAGTCCATAGCTAACTATGGAAAAAAGACTCATGTACTTCCTCCTCAGCCCCTAATGTCCTTGCTACCATTCTCTTCACCCCCCCCCTTCTTTTTTCTAAGAGATTACAGGTTGGGAGTAGGGACAGTCTCAGGCTGGGCAGAGAAGCAAAAGGAAATGAGAAAGAGGATCAGCTCAATCTCGCTAGCCCCATTCCTTCATCTCAAATCCTAGTCATAAATTTGAGTTAAAAGCAGTTTGTCACTGCCCTCCCCTCACCACAACATCCTGCTTGAGAGAGCAGTGACTGGGGGAGAGGGGCAGTTAGGAGAATTGGAAAGACCAGCCAAACAAATTCGAATTTGGGAATCAAGGTATGGGTGGTAAGTAGCAGAGCCAGGATTCAAACCTAGTGCTTTTTCTGCTAAGGAAGTACCAAAGTTGCTTAAATGTAATAAATTCAGTTTAATTCAACACATTTATTCTGTGCTTACTACATGCAAAGCAAGTCAATAAACAATTATTAAATACCTGCTTTGTGGTAGATAATCTCTCTAAGCCTTGGGAATAAGACAGTGAAAAAATTCATGGTTTCTGCAGTCAGGAGCTCATGGTTTAGTAGCAGGATGAGACATACATACAAATAGCTATTACACAACTTGGAAAGTGAATGTGTAGTGGAGGGGCCAAACAATGTAGCTCAGGAAATTCAAGCTGGAGGAATCAGAAAAGTCCAATGGAAAGAACACTGAGTAAGTTTACCTGGGGACAAATCTTGCCTCTGGCATTTACCAGTTGTGTGAGCATGAAAGAAAAATCTCCCAAATTTTTTAAGCCTCAGTTTCCTTATCTGTAAAAAAAAAAAGGTTGATAATACCTACTACAGGATGGTTTTGAGGATCAAGTGAGATAATGCATGTAAAATGCTTTATAAATCTTTAAAACTGTCAGTTGCTTTTATTGCCATCATCACTGTCCTCCTCCTCATCTTATTATCTCATTCTCATCTTTTTCTTTCAATTGAACAAAATTATATGAACTGATGCAAAATGAAGTGAGCAGAAGTAGAACATTGTGTACATATTGTAACAATGTTGTAAGCAATGTAACACAGTAGCAGTCTAAGATATTGTAGCAACATTGTAACAACCAGCTATAAAAGATTTAGCCACTCTGATTAGTACAATGATCCATGGCAGTTCAAACGAATCATGATGAAAAATTCCATCTACCTCCAGAAAGAGAAATGATAGACTCTGCATGCATATTGAAGCATATTTTTTCACTTTATTTTTCTTGCTTTTTATTTTATAACAGGGCTAATATATTTTAACATTGTAGCATAACATGCTAAATATATTTTGCATGACTCATAAGTATAGTAAGTATATTTCTTGCCTTCCCAATAGGTAGAAGAAAGATGGAGGGAAAGAATTTGGAACTGAAAATAATAAGAAAAAATTAAAATACCCAGCAAAAAATGAGCATTATCTTTCAGGGGAGGAGATGGATATTTAACAAAATAGGGGACCTCATACCTTCCTGATAAATAGACCAGAGCTCAACAAAAAATTGATCTTCAAATACAAGACTCAAGAGAGACATTAAAAAGGTAAATGGGACAGAAAGAAACAACATGTTATTAATAAGGGCAAACTGTTTACATCCCTACATGGGAAGATGACACTTGTAACTCTTGAGAACTGTATTGTTATTACGCCATGTTAAAGGGGTATACATAAAGGCAGTAGGTATAAATTGACTTTGATGTAATGATGAAAAAAATCTAATCAAATGGGTTAAATGGATCCAAGTAAGTGAATTAATCTGATTTAACTAAGAAAATGTACTGAGAGAAAAGGAAAGGAGGAGGCAGACAAGGGTAAATTACATCACAGGAAAAGGCACAAAAAAATCTATTACAACAGAGGGAAAGAAGGGAGGGAGATGAGCATTGTTTGGACCTTATTCCTATCAGATTTGGCTCAAGAAGGGAATAACATAATCAGTTAGGTATAGAAATCTAACATCCCCAATAGGCAGCAAGAAGGAAAAGGGGAAAGAAAAGGGAGGGGCCTAATAGAAGTAAGGTGGTACTGAAGGAGGCAGTGGTCAAAAGCAAAACATTAGTGAGGAGGGAAAAGGAGAAAAGAGAAAGAAAAGCATAAACGGGGGGGAGGGGAGGGAGAAGGATAGAGGGGAGGGAGAAGGATAGAGAGAAAGACACACATAGTGTCACAGATAGATAATCATAATTGTAAATGTGATATATGAATGTAATGGAATACTATTGTGCTATAAGAAAGAATGAACAGGCAGACTTCAGATAAACCTGGAAAGACTTGTATGGTTTGATGCTGAGTGAAGTGAGCAGAACCAGGTGAACGTTGCACACAGTTACAGCGACACTGTGTGATGACTAACTTTTATAGACTTAGCTCTTCTCAGCAATCTAAGACATTTCCACAAGCCTCATGATGGAAAATGCTATCCACAACAAAAGAAAGAACTATGGAGTTTGAATGCAGATTGAAGCATACTATTTGCTATTTTTTTTCTTCTGTTGTGTTTTGTTTCCTCTTTCTGGTGGTTCCTCCTATTAGTTCTAATTCTTACTTACAACATCACTAATGTGAAAATATGTTTAATAGGAATGCATATGTAAAGCCTGTATCAGATTGTGCACCATCTTGGGGAGGGAGGATGAGAAAAATTTGAAACTCAAAAGCTTATGGAAGTGATTGTTGATAATTCAAAATAAATTAATAAAACTTTTTTAAAAAAAGAAAGAAAAAGAAAGAAAAAAAACACTGGAAGTCCAACTCTAGTAGCAGACAGAACAACAGGAATGATAGAGGACCTTATCCTGTTCCCACATGGTTTTGATTTCTTCCACTAAATCTTTATGTTTGGAAATTTTGTTTTGTATAGTTTGGAGATTATAAGTATTTGGTAAGGTAACATCTATTAAAATTATATTCTTAAATTTTTATGGGTCAGTGTCATTATTATTAGGACATATTGAGTCTGAGTTGTTGTGGGATGTGGAAAGTTTCTCTTTGGTACTTAAAGCTTTTCCAAAACTAATCCCTTCTTGCTTTTCCATTCTTCTTTCCCTTTGCTCCACTCCATGCACTCTGTGATACAGATATACCTATTTGCTGCTCCTTCTTTCATGAAATTCCATCACTGGTCTCCATGCTTTTCCACCAGCTGTCCCTCCTTCCTGGAATACTCTGCCTTCTAACCTCTACCACTTAGTTTCACTGACGTCTTCGTCGTCGTCGTCGTCGTCTTCTTCTCCTTCTTCTCCTTCTTCTTCTTCTTCTTCTCCTTCTTCTCCTCCTCCTTCTTCTTCTTCTTCTTCTTCTTCTTCTTCTTCTTCTTCTTCTTCTTCTTCTTCTTCTTCTTCTTCTTCTTCTTCTTCTTCTTCTTCTTCTTCTTCTTCTTTTGGTGAGGCAATTGGGGTTAAGTGACTTGCCCAGAGTCACACAGCTAGTGAGTGTAAGTGTCTGAATTCAGATTTGAACTCAGGTCCTCCTGACTCTAGGGCTGGTGCTCTATCTACTGTCACTGCCCTTTCAAGATTCAGCTCAATTTCTACCTTCTGCAGAATGCCCTTCTAGGTCCTCCTAGCTGTTAATGCCTTCCTCTCTCAAATTACTTCTTGGCTACTTTCTATATATCTTATGCCCTCCTAGTTGTTTACATATTGTCTCTCCCATTAGAATATATGCTTCCTGAGGGCAGGTACTATTTTTTTGCCTTTCTTTGTATATCCAGCACTTAGCACAGTGGCCAGTAAGTGTGCAATAAATATTTGTTGACTAATTAACATGTAGATTAGAGATGAGGACATACTGTGTGGTATAATGGAATGAGATTGGATTTTCTCAGATAACCTGGATTTAAATCTTGGCTCTGCTATTAACTACCTTTGGGACAACCTCTTGGAACCTCAGTTTCATCATCTTCAAAATGGAGTTGGATTAGAATTGGGGTTCTTATTCTGCTGTGTCTTAACTTGTTTTTTTAAAAATACTTTGATAAAAAAATTTTTTAAAAGAAAAAAAAGAAAAAGAAAATACTTTGATAATTATTTCAATATAATTGGTTTCCTTTGTTGTCCTATCTATTTTTATTTTATGCATTTAAAAACTTTATTGTGATGGAAATGTGTTTTACATGATTGCACACATGTAACACATATCAAATTGTTTAACATCTCAGAGAGGGGGGAAATGAAGGAGGGAAGGAGAAAATTAGAACTCAAATTTTTTTAAAAAATTGAATGTTAAAAATTCTCTTCAAATATAATTGGGAAAAAATAAAGTATTATTAAAAAGAAAAAAATATTTTGAGAAGTGGTCTACAGGCTTCAAAAGGTTGCCAAAGGAGACCATGACACAGAAAAGATTAAGAACTGCTGGACTTGAGACTCTCTTTTAGCTCTAGGTAATAGGATTCTTTACTTTCTATCATTGCCTCTGGCTTATTGGAACAGTTTTAAACTTGGCTTATTTTACAGTCACTCACCAATCTGTGACCCCAATCTAGAGTGTTAGACAATCGGTTAAGTCTGTTAATAGGAGGAGCTAGAGATTGGCAAGCCTTGGGTAAAGGAAAATCTCTTCAATATTATACTTTATTCAATGTGGTTTGGTTGTTATTTTTTGTGGTGGTGATGGCTTGCATTTGTCTTGTTTTATTTTTAACTTCTGCACTGACTTCTAACAAAAGCTTTCAATTTTGAATTCAAGTTTAGGGAATTCTCTGTGTGTCCCAGTTTTAATCTGAGATTGACTGACTGATTTTCTGAATCCACCTCTGTTTATTTAATCTAGTTGACTCAGCTGAGGAGAATGATTTAGGGAATAGAGAACCAGCATTGCAGTATGAAATGCTTAATTTAGGTCATGAGTCTGACCCTTAATAGCTGTGCAACCATGGGTAATTCACTTAACCTCTCAGTGCCACAGGTGGCTAAGACTACAATGAAGAAATGAATTACTTATCTGCATTGGTGAAAGGCATTTCCATTCCAGAAGTACATTATACCAATAAAATCTCAGGTCTAAAGTAAAATGATAATTAAAAAAAACTCCAATATCAATTCCCAGCCCTTTACAGCTAAGATAACTAGGTTAAACAAATTGAAGCAGATCAGAATCAGCCCATTCTAGTTTAAAACTGAGAGACACACAAAATTTCCTAATTGTGAGTTAAGCCTTAACCTTAAAAATATTTCTCCTCTTTCAGTAATAGAACTGAATATGATTTCCAAGTTAACAAGGGAGTCATGCTACATCTTTTTGGTAACTTGATGTAGAAACCATGATATATGGACAGGTAGGTGGCACCGTGGATAGAGTACTGGGTCCAGAGTCAGGAAGACTCATCTTCTTAAGTTCAAATCTGGTCTCAGACACTCATTAGCTGTGTGATGCTAGGCAAGTCACTCAACTCTGTTTGTCTCAGTTTCCTAATCTGTAAGATGAGATGGAGAAGGAAATGGTAAACCACTTATGTTTCTTTGCCAAGAAAACTCCAAATCGGGTATGATTGAAATGACTAGATAATTGTATGGCCCCATTTAAAACTATACTAAATAGCTTTTGCATTTTATGGAATCTTTCTGCATTAATATCATAATGTCATTTGACTTGAGAAAGTACCGTGAAAAGAGTGATGTTTCTGGAGTCATAGGATCTATATTCAAATTCTACTTCTGACACTACTTACATGACTGTGAACCAGTTCCAATTGAACCTCTGTTTCTTCATCTGTAAAAGGAGGAGTTGGGCTACCTGACCTCCGAGGTCACTTCTAGCACTAGAATTATGATCTTATGACAATATAAAATGTTTAATATACTCCAAGGAAAGATAGAGCTGAAAGCTTCAAGATTGAATCTAGGGGTCAGATTAAACCAGTCGATAAAGGTGATACAAATACTCTTTCAAACAAAACAAATCACACATAAAGCTATCAAGGACAAAAAGCATAACTATTTTTGCCATGAGACTCTTCTGGAATCTTGAAATCAAAGCTCAATGGAAGAATATGTTTAAAGAGATTAATGCCTAAACAGCACTGGGCTTACCATACACCATAACAGATTTGGAAAGTACTCTAATAATTTCCCTGAGAGACCATGGGAAAGAAAGAAGACATTTCTCTTGCTCCCTTTTTAATATACATGTCTCCTAGAATATGAGTTTTTAAAAATCAGACTAACATTTCTGAGATCAATAATTTATAATTTGTCAGCATGAGATAATTTTGTTAAGTTTTTCTTAAGGGTTTAAATTACTGCATTTCAAGACAAAAAAACTCTGCCCCTCACATTGGTAGCCATACTAACCTCGAAAGACTATTGTGACATTTAAATGTTATAGTGTTTGTGAACATGATTTGGAGACTATAAAGCATTATGAAAACAAAGAAAAAG